AACAAATTACCTCTAATGATGTAAAAAAAAGTAGTACTGGTCTCACTATAGAGCTGGGAGTTGGATATAATTTTTAAAATTTCAAATTCTTGACTTCAGTTCTTTTGTTATTGTTTGCTCGTTTCTCTCACAAACTTAAACATTTTGTTTTTTAGAGGTTTCTGTGTGGTTGAGTTCTGTGAGGTTTTTACTAACCCAGAACTCACACACACATACTTCTTCTTTCTCTCTCTCACATTCACACAGTGAATTAAGGTATCTACCACACTAGAATTGGCAGGGGCACAAACAAAACTGGAACCTGAGGACCCTGCAAGGAAATAAGGCTTCCAGGGGGAAAATGGTCCCTTACAATAATTCTTCTCACCTTGAAAGCTGGGCCAGGCTGTTACTTCAGTTTTCAGAGTTGCCATCACTCTTTCTGTCTAGCCACTGACTAGGGGCTTTACACAGATCAGGCCTGCCCTCCCCAGAAAAGCCCACAGACAATATTGGCCACAGTTGGAGGATGCTGGAGTTCAGCTTAGCCTTCCTCACTTCTGAAGAGCTGAGTGCACGTGGCAACACCGCAGACGTCAGGAATCTACTGCCAGAGGGTCCAGAGAGGGGCAAGGACCTCCTCAGGTCCTTCCCAAGGAGATGTTCTCAACTGTGAGTGAAGTGTCCATCCCTCTCCCACCCATAACACACACACACACACACACACACACACACCCCTCAGGCCCTTTCACAGCCCCATTCTCCATTGCATTCTTGTAAACAGGGATGGCCTAGAGGCCTGCCTGCTCAGGTGACCAAGATCCATGTCTGATGTACATAATCTTGGTCTCAGGTCCCCTTCAATGGTGCACTATATTTGCCACCACCCATAGACTCTCAGGGAGCTCTGGTGGCGTAGTGCCTGAGGCACTTGACTGCTAACCAGAAGGCTGGCAGTTCAAACTCACTAGCCACTCCTCGGAAGGAAGGTTGGGCAATCTACTTCTGTAGTGACACTGTCTTGGAAACCCAAGGAGTGGTTGCTATGAGTCGGGTCCCACTCGACAGCAAATAACAACAACAATAGAGTCTCATGCACTGAGATCTTTATGCTCTGGCCGTTGGTTCTTTTTCTCCAATGTTGTTGTTGTTATGTGCTGTCGAGTCGGCCCCGACTCATAGCGACCCCTCCTTGGGTTTCCGAGGCAGTATCACTACGGAAGTAGGATTG